AAAAAAAAAAAAAAAAAAAAAAGCTCCCCCATTCTCAGCAAAACTGTCCTTGGTGAAAGGCCTTGACTCCTCTGTGAAATGGTTGCTGGAAGCCTTCTTTCATTTGTCTACCACAAAAGTGGAGCTTAGAAATCTGTGGCCCAAGTAGCTCAGCAGAAGGAAATGACCAGTATGAATTATCATCAGATAGAATACAGTAACCTAGATTAGGCTTACGAACATGTTAACGAATAGAGTTCTGCAGGGCCTGCTTTAAAGAACAGATATACAGTATTTTAATGGAGAATGTAATCTCAGTGTCATCTCTGGGGCATGTTTACTACTATATCTCTATCCAGCACCTGAAGTAATGCCTGAAACAGAGGAATGATTCAGCGTGTGGTGACTGGACTGCATGGCACTTTCGAACCACTGGACCTGTCCCACAATGGGGCAGTGAGTTTCCTGTCCCTCTACCTATAAGGTATCTAAAAGGTTTGGCCCTGCATGTGGTAGAGGTGCTTTGAAGGGGGTTTTTTAGGAGACAGTCTAGGAGACGACCCTTAAATAACCTGCCTGCAATCTTCTTTATGCTCAATTGGTCAATGAAGTTTTTTTCAGGGACAACATAAAACAGTAGTTCTGCTGGCATCACTGACTACACATTAGAGTCACCTATGAGCTCTTAAAATAAACACTAGTGTCCATGGACCCTACTCTCAGAATTTTGATTTAATTGATGTAGGCTGAGACCTATTCACCTGTTTTTAATGCTTTATGAGTAATCCTAAAGTGCAGTGAAGGTGAACTACCACTAATGTGAAAAAAAAAAAAATACTGCAATATGACTTCACAGCTAGCTCAGAACTAGTTCTTTGCAGATTTCATAATTTATAATAATTCCTGCTGGGAAGCCAGAAGACCCATTCCTCTACTGTCACCATAGCCAAAAAGCATTATCTTCAAGGCCTGATTCATCCTTACCTCCTCCAGGAAGCCTTCCCGGCCTGCTCCAGACTAATTTTCTGTCCCCTTATTGTACTTCCTGCCAGTACTTGCATCCCTGCTTTGACTTATATCTCTTTGGCCCAGAATACCCCCTTATACCCTTCTCCTTTCCTTCCTGAGCCTCCACCACACTCCAAATTGAGTACTCTGAACTTATCCTGTGCATATCTACCCACCAAACTCTGTTTTTTTTTTTTTTTTTTTTTGAGACGGAGTTTCGCTCTTGTTACCCAGGCTGGAGTGCAATGGCGCGATCTCGGCTCACCGCAACCTCCGCCTCCTGGGTTCAGGCAATTCTCCTGCCCCAGCCTCCTGAGTAGCTGGGATTACAGGCACGCGCCACCATGCCCAGCTAATTTTTTGTATTTTTAGTAGAGACGGGGTTTCACCGTGTTGACCAGGATGGTCTCGATCTCTTGACCTCGTGATCCACCCGCCTCGGCCTTCCTAAGTGCTGGGATTACAGGCGTGAGCCACCGCGCCCGGCTAAACTCTGTTTTATAATTGCCTGCCCATTTGTATGTCTCTCAATGAAACTGCAGGCACCCCGAGAACAAGAACTGTGACATATTAACCTTGGCAACCACGGCACTTAGCATGTGCAATAGAGTAAGCACAATTGCATAGATGAATGGAAGGAAGATGAATGAATGGACAGATGGATGAATGAAGGGGTAGTACTCTTTGTAGGGCTTAACTGCACTGTCTGAATTGTTTAGTCTCTGCTACATTTCTCACATGTCTCTATTATCTAACTTGGGAAAGAATATTTCCTAGTGATCACCTTTTCCCAACCATAAATTTTATCTGTCAGTTGACTGACTCACAGCCTGAAAATAACTTGTTCATTAGTTTTCTGCAACAAAAGACCCAGTCTTAGCATCACATTGTAAGGTTAGAAAAGGTCTTATCATTTAATGAATGCTTACTGGGTGCTGGGGGCTTTAAATGCATTATTTCTTCTCAATGTCAACTCCTCCTATTTGTCAGTTGCAGAATCTGAAACTGAGAGTTGTAAGTAACTTGCTCCAAACCAGCCTCAGCAGTAGTTGAGATTTAAGCCTAGATTCTTTCCCACAGAGGCCCATTTCTTCTCCTGTCTCAGTTTCTGTCCTTCAGGTAGAGACTACAGGAGTGCCGACATTAAATACTTCAATACAAGGTCCATGAGGACCAAAGCTCCAAGAGGACCCAAACCCGACAGACCTGGACCTTCACAGTGTTCTGAGGGTCCTGCACATGTTCCAGGGTTGCATCAACATCCAGGGCCACCACTAACCCGGATGTAAACCGCAAAGGGTTGTCTGACTCGCCTGCTGGCTCGATGATGGTGGCTGAGGCTTTGTGGATCTGTAAGCAAGAAGAAAATACCATGATTCTAAAGTCAGGTCATTCCTGGATAAAAAAACACAATCTTTGATCTTCTCTCTTCTTATCTAATAAGTGGGCATGTGGGAGCCACTCAGAAAAGAGCCTAACCCAGTTACTCCATTGGTCAAAGAAGATCACCAAGGTGAAGATTTTTGACTGTCTGGACAGATTTGGCCTATAGGGGCCAAATAGACCCTGACCTGCTCTGGAAGTGGGAGATGCAGGAAGGCACTCTGCCGCAGCGTGGTCTGTAGAATTTTGACCACTTCTGCAGGTTTGGATGTCATGAGTCGGGGCATAAGGTCAAGAAGTTTGTCCACAAAGCTGTCCTGCAAGTGCGGCAAATCAGTGATGAAATACCTAGAGGAACAAACAGAAGCAATTTACTCATTCAACTGTGCACTCATTCACCACAGGCTGGGCCCCAGCCCAACTACGAAGCAGAAGGAACGATGAAGTGAGAGGAGTTTGCAGTTCATGATCAAGACAGACCTATATCATTATGCCTAAGTCACATGATCACAAAAGAAATGCCGCTGTTTACTCATAACCATTATGTGCCAGACATAATCTTCAGTATGTTACATGATCTTATTTAACTCCCAGCAATCCTATGCATTATTAGAATTTTTATTTTCATACTATAGACTCATTAATTATTTTAACAAATACGAAGTGGCAGAAACACTGAAACTCAGAGAGGATGATGCTGTACCAAGGCTCAGAAAAGAAAGTTACTCCTGGCTTGGACTGATCCAACTTCTGCCTTGTGCAAGGGGACAGACAAAAGATATCTCAATGAGGAGGCAGTATCTGTGCAGAAACTCAAAGGATGAATTAGGAACAACAGACAAAGTACTTTGGGGATTCAGAGCTGTCATCTTCCCAAAAAAACTCTTTAATCCAACTGTGCAAAAACAGACTCTCTACCTTAAAGAATCTAAAGTCAAAAGTAAGGCATGAACTTATTTCAGATTCAAATCTAGGACTTTTTTTTTTTTTTGAGACGGAGTCTTACGCTATTGCCCAGGCTGGAATGCAATGGCATGATCTCAGCTCACAGGGACCTCTACCTCAAGTGATTCTCCTACCTCAGCTTCCTGAGTAGCTGGGATTACAGGTGCCCACTGCCATGCCCAGCTAATTTTTTGCATTTTTTAGTGGAGATGGGGTTTCACTATGTTGGCCAGGCTAGTCTCAAACTCCTGACTTCCTGATCCACCCACCTCGGCCTCCCAAAGTGCTGGGATTACAGGCATGAGCCACTGTGCCAGGCCTCCAAACTAGAATTTTAAAAGACCAAGCTAGACTGTACCATTTGCTAGAGAGCATTACCTGCTGGTGAAGGTAGTGCTGCAACTCAGCCCTTTAAGAAGCCATCATCACCCAAATGACAAGTACAGAGTCATAAAATCCTCAGGTTTGAAAAAAAAAAAATCCTCAGGTTTGGTGAACTTCATGAAGGCAGAGACAATGAGTGGAAGAAATGAAACAGACTTCATCAGTGCTTTAAGATCCTCTGTCTTCTCCCAGTATAATTTGGCTGCATACCACAGGTCTGGTCATTCCCTGGGCTCCTATTTCTTCATCAGGCTTTCCATTCAACTACTGCATGTGCTGTTAACCAATTCATTCCATATACAACTCTGAAAAAATATATGTATTCTACAAGATAAAATTTACCTGCAGAATTGCAGAACAATTGTTTGCATATTTTAGAGAAATATGCAAGTGTAACAACAGTGTGGGCCTGGCACAGTGGTTCAGACCTATAATCCCAATACTTTGGAAGGCAGAGGCAGGAGGATGTCTTGAAGCCAGGGATTCAAGACTAGCCTAAGCAACACAGCAAGACCCCATCTCTAAAAAAAAAATATTAAAAATTACCCAGGCGTGTTGGCACATGCCTGTTACTCAGGAGTCTGAGGTGGGAAGATAGCTTTAGCCCAGGAGTTCAAGGGTGCAGTGAGCTCTGATTTCGCCACTGCACTCCAGCCTGGGTGACCGAGTAAGACACTGTCTCTAAAAATAATAATGAGGTCAGACACAGTAATGGCTCATGCCTGTAATTCCAGCACTTTGGGAGGCTGAGGCAGGCAGGTCACTTGAAGTCAAAGAGTTCGAGAACCGCCTGACCAACATGATGAAACCCCGTCTATACTAAAAATACAAAAATTAGCTGGGGGTGGTGGCAAGCACCTGTAGTCCCAACTTCTTGGGAGGTTGAGGCAGGAGAGTCACTTGAACCCAGCGGACGGAGGTTGCAGTGAGCCAAGATCACACCACTGCACTCCAGCATGGGCGACAGAGTGAGACTCCTTCTCAAAAAAAATAAAAATCAAAAAAAATAATAAAGAGCAGTGTAAGCAAACAGTGGTGAAAAAAACAGATGGCTAATGATTTTTTTCAACAAACGTATTTACAAGTTTTCTTCATATTACTTGTCTTTTTATGGCTCTAGCTAAGTGCTAAATCCAAGTGATTCCTGGTAGGTTTAGTTTTGAAGCTGTAACTTCAAAGAAGTTTCTATAACATTAAGGAAAAAAAACAAATTAGGGCACATGGCCAGAGATGATAGCTTGGCTGCACAGGCTAAACTGAGGAATGTGATTTCTGATTGCTCCTATTGCCTGCCCGTGCTATTCTCTGTGGAACCAAGATTTAATAAGCCAGAAGAGATATAAAATACTTACCTCTGAAAAAAGTCCACTTCCTGTAAAAATTTTTCACACATCCCAAATAAGGGGTCAAGTCTGTAGAAAAGAAATGTAAAATAATTTGCTTGTGAAATCTTCAAACTGAGAAGTGAGGACCAAAAGTCCCAGAAACCTGAGCCTAAATTAAAGGAAAATTGGCATATTACACTATAAAAATGATCTCTAAAAGTAAGAGAGGACTCCTAATGGACCTGGGGGTAATACCTGTCAGGATCCCAAGACCTGATTAAACTACTGCAGTGCCCATTAAGCTCAAAGAACATTAAAAATCAGACTATCACAGGCTACACTTGGCACTAGACTCACTATGAATACAGGAGAGAAGCATAGCATGCAGGCACTACAGTGTCAAGTTCCCATTCTGCAGGAGTCCTTACAACAGTCCATACATCTACCTGGGAGCTTTAATCCCAACACTGACAGCTCATGTGCAAGGAGATGAGCTCTAAATCAGGTAGGTGTAGAGGCCATACTAGCTGAGATGCCTCATGCACCATAGGTGCTAATATCTCTTTTTTTGTTGTTTGTTTAGAAACAGGGTCTCACTCTGTCACCTAGGCTGGAGTGCAGTGGTGTTATCATGGCTCACTACAGCCTCAACCTCCTGAGCTCAAGCAATCCTCCCATCCTGGCCTCCTGAGTAGCAGGAGGGGACAAAGTTTTGTTACTACTTTGCCCACAAACACAGACGATGCTCCTTCTTCTCTATCTTGATTTCTTTGGCCTCACAGTACTTGAGAACATTTCATTTCAGTAAAAAGTTATTGCCGGGCGCAGTGGCTCAAGCCTGTAATCCCAGCACTTTGGGAGCTGAGGCAGGTGGATCACGCGGTCAAGAGATCGAGACCATCCTGATCAACACGGTGAAACCCTGTCTGAGTAGCCGGGACTATAAGAATACACCACTATGCCAAGATAAACTTCTTAAATTTTTTGTAGAGGTGGTGGTCTCACTGTATTATCCAGGCTGGTCTCAAACTCCTGGGCTCAAGCAGTCCTCCTACCTCAACCTCCTAAAGTGTTGGGATTACAGACATGGGCCACCATACCTGGCCTGCTAATATCTCTTGAAACAACTCCATAGGCATAGCTTCCAGGGACCCGACAAATGATCTATCCAGTTTCAAGAATCACTGTACTCAGTGAAGCCCATAGCCATTGTATCTGCATCTGGAAACCATTTATATTTCCTTCTGGTCTACATGCAATTTACTCAGAGATCATTTTTTCCATAGTGGTATAGCCTATTAATGTTGACACTATAAGGGCTCCAAGAAACATACCTAAAAAGTTAACTAAACTTAAAAAAAATTTTTTTTTAAATGCTAATCAGTAACCTCCGTGAGAGTTAACAGGATTTAAACCTACTGCACTGACAAACTGCTACAAAACCAGCAGATGAGATTAGAAGCTATATAGCAGGAAAAAAAAAAAGAAAAAAATAGTAGCGAAGCACACTTGGAAATAAAACATATAATGAAATCAAACTCAATAATCCATGAACAGTGGAATCAACAACATTGTAAACTGAAATGATAAACTAAAAGAGCATATTAAGGAATTTACTCAGAATATAGAATAGAAAGACAAAGAAAATGAAATTACAAAATAAAAGGTATAGGAAAAATAGATCAAGAAAATCCAACATCCAGTATGCGAGACTAGTGTATAGAAGAAGTAAGTAAAGAAATAATGGAGGAAAAAAATCCCTGAGCTAAAAACAGTTGATACTTCAAACTGCCACCAAAGATCAGCAAGAATATTGAAAGAAAACACATATCTAGACATATCCTGGTGAAATTAAAGAGAGAAAGAAATTTTTAAAGGTTTGAGCATGAAAAATAAGCTGTAGGGAAGAGAACGAGACTCACAGAAGACATTCAACTATAACATTAAATACTAAAAGGGAACATAACAGGGAGTCTCTATTAACCTATTCTGATTTGGGAGCATTCCCAATAAAATAAATAAAGGCACCATAGCAATATAAAAATATTGGAAAAGAATTCCATTTATGTATGAGAGCCAAGGAATTTAAAAAGCAACTGTGATACATAAAGAACAGTGGTAGCAAAGTTGGAACTAAACTTATAAAGATTATAAGTGATGGCTCACGCCTGTAATCCTAGCACTTTGGGAAGCTGAGGTGGGAGGATCTTTGAGCTCAGAAATTCAAGACCGGCCTGAGCAACATAGTGAAACCATGTCTCTATTATTTTTAAAAATAAAAAATATTTTATATAAAAAATTAAAAATAAAAAGTATATATAAGGACTATGTATTTATAACCTTATAAAGATTATGTAGTTATAAACTTATAAAAATATAAGCTACATTATAAAAACATTATCAACTGAAACAAACTTTCAAATTATTATTGAGAGATGGGGTCCTGCTCTGTTGCCCAAGTTGGAGTGCAATGGCACGATCTTTTTTTAAAAAAAAAATATAGATGCCATCACACACATCTTTGTTTATTTCAATTATAACTGGCACATAGTAGGAATTAAACATTTGTTAAATGATTATATATATCTTTAAGATCAAATCACTCCCTGACTTTATAAAGTCACTATCAAGATAAGTGAAGAAATAAAATATTTTATTTCTCAGGATGTTCTTTCTGACCTAGTATGCTTCAGTGTTTAAACATTCATATTTATATCTCTATGCCACATTTTTGTTGACATAGCTACTGGACTGAGCATCAAACATTTCTGCGAGCTGGCAGTGAGTCACCTAAGTACTTTTTTGTATCAAATCTATGATGCCATCATTCTTAAGATGCACCTTTATTTTATGAAATAGTAAGAAACAAAAAACACTATGGCACCCCATCAAAATATTTGATTTCAGTGAACTTACAATAATATGTGCATCTTGAAATCCATGAAATGTGGCAGTTCCAGTTATCTGAAAGTCTTACAGCTTTACAGTCTTACACTGAACTCTTATTACGTATCAAGTACCATGCTAAGTGTTTTTACATGTATTCTCTCATTTATTCTTCACAGGAATGCCATAAGATAGATGTTGTCTTCATTTTCATTTTGAACAGGGAAACAAGGTACAAAAAGGTTTAAAAACCTGTTCATAACCAAACAACTAGTAAGTAAAAAAGACAGGATTTGAATAAAATAGTCTGACTTCCCAGTATATCCTCTAATTTATCCTTACTGCCTGAGAAAAAGATTATTAGTCCCTTCAGAACAGAAAAATTGGTCCCCGGCACTAAATTCGTAAGGAAATCTATCAAGTAGGAGGATACAAAATGTCCTTTTTGCCAGATAAAGTCCTGTGTTGTGCTATATGCAATGGAGAGTCACCAGAGGGTTTTTAGCAAGGGAGAGACACAATTGGATTTCCAACAAATCTGATGCAACAAAAGAATTTGTAATATCTGAAAAAAAAAATAGATCACACATTCCTTAGCTAGTCTTTTCTAAATCTCATTTTACTTATCATTAACTTTGGTGTGATGTCTGAATGCATTTGAAGCATCTTTGAAAGGAACATGCCACATCTTTTGGCCAATCCCACATCTTACCCTCGTGTAGTTCGTGCTGTTACTATAAGTTGCAAAGCTTTGGCCTGTAGCCTCATGTGATGTATAATCACCACCTGCTTATTCTCCACACCACTGTACATGAACTCCATTTTGTAGGTCTCTTCCATAATCTATAAAGAAAAGGTAATTAATAATCAATAAAAGTATCAGTCTTACTTGAGAGCAGCATAGATTTCTACTGTTAAATAACCTTAGGTGAAACTCTGAACTGAGATTTTACATCCCTATGCTTTTAAGTGTTGAAAGAAATTAGTATAGTATGCCTTGTGAAGAACGAATAAATTATTTTGCCTATTTAAAAAGAAGACTGACCTGGTAATAAAATCATCTTAGTTGATGATGCGAAGATAAGAAAATTTAATCACTTAAGCAAACTGCAAAGCACTGAAAGCACTGCTTGTTACCCTAAACTAAACTTACTCTGCCATGGGAACAAATTAATATATATTATACATGGAAACCCAATCCCCAGGAAATCCTCAAGAATTAAACATCAGGAACTATTAACCATATGTTAGTTATCCTGATAGACTGTTCTGTGGGCTTGGTCTGAGAGAGTTTGGGAAGGAAATAAGTGCAAGAAAACATTGTCTATGACCCCAGATCAAGTTCCCGATCTTGCTCAGCTTTATCCAAATAAGCTACTTTCATAAAAACGATTCTTCTCTTTCCCTTCTGTGCTTGCCTCTCTGTGAACACTCTGGGGTTAGAGAAACGACTCCAGACTCTCTTATAACTGGCAATGAGACAAATTAAATTACATGAATGTCTCAATCCCTTTCTGTAAACGGGGAAGAAATAGCACCAACATCATGAAGTTTAAAGTATCAAATGGGGCATGCAAGATGCTTATCACAGTATCTGTGATATACAGCAATGGTAACTTCTTTCCTCTTTTCCTTCCAAATTATTGCTCCCTGGTTCCATCTTTCCAGTGTGGCTCAATTACTGGGTTCTAGTCATTAAATTCTACTCTTCTACAATAAGCCACATACCAGGTCTGAGAGAGAGTCTGGATCAGACAAGAGTCAGTACTGTAGTAGAAAACAGATTCTGGGTATCAGAAGATCTGGTCTCCAGTCCTGATTGTATTACCTATAGCTCTATGAATTTAACCTTGCTGAGCTTTAACTGCCTCATCTCTAAAATAGAATTAGTACTTATTCCTATCAAATGAGATTATTATGAGGGGTAATTAAGCTAACAGACTTGAAATTATTTAGTGAACTGTAACAATCACTGTCATCATCATTAGCTTCCTCCTGGGTCATTTACAGACTTCCTATTTGGAAGACTTGACCTGCAAGAGATCACCAAGTCTCAATACTTAGATGCAAAAGGGAACTACTCAAAGCTGAAAGGAAATAAACTATAGGCAAAAAATTTAAAGCCTGCTTAATGAACTTCCCAGAAATGTAAGGACCTTTTAGCACTGAAGTGATGGTACAGGCTAAAGATATAAACAATCTTAATTGAGTTCAGCTACATTTTCAGATAAAAGATTCATGATGGTAGAGACAGGGTTTCACCATGTTGGCCAGGCTGGTCTCAAACTCCTCACTTCAAGTAATGTGCCCGCCTCAGTCTCCCAGAGTGCTGGGATTACATGAGTGAGCCACCATGTCTGGCCCAACTGCCATATTTTATAGAAGAGGAAAAATCCAGGGAAGTTAAGTAACTTGCTCAATGTCACTCAGCAAATCTGAGGCAGATCTGGGACTTGAACCCAGGTCCCCTGACTCCAAAGTGAGTGCTGTGTCCCCCAGTTATGCTCCTTCTCATATCACTAACTTCTGTCATAGCCTAAAATGAGGGAGGCCACACAAAGGTATAGAGCTATAGGAAGGCCTCTGGCTCTGCCTTGGACTGGACAATTCCTGGACAGAGACCTATTTGAAAGGAAGGTCTGAATAGCTTACCTGTTTAGCTGCTGCTGAGGCCAAATCACTCTGCTTCAAATACAAAGGCGCTGCCACATTCCACAACTTTTCCTGCAAGGCCTACTTAGACAAATCAGGAGGGAACAGAACATAGAGGTCACAAAGACTGGCATATCATCTGGGATTTACATTTTTGTTTTCCTTTGAAAGTCTACCATGAACAGGACTTCTTCTCAATTAATCTTATTCTTTTAACCCAATAAGCTGTATCTGTTATGGAGAGAGATGAGACCAATGGTTTGGGCTAAATGAATTCCTGCCCATTTGATCCAATTTCTAGCCCAAAGGCCCTGTGTCCCAGATCAGTGCTTCTGGAAGCAGAGTACAGGAGCCATGAATCCTTCACCAGAATGTGCCGACAAGCCAGCTTCTGGGCTCTAGGCACTCCTTGTTCCCAGAGCCACTGGGCTAACCTGAACCACCTAGATCCTTCTTCCTTGACTGTGGTTCTTTTTTCCTTTCCCCTATGCTCATTATGTTATGAATAACACCTGCCCCCAAACACTTTACAAATATATTCAACTAAAAATCAGGCAACATTCCTAGATTTCTCCGTCTTTCAATCACTCTACATTTAAAACATCACTAAGAGCCACAATCTTACCTTTCATCTCTCTCCTCACCTATCCATCCACATGACCTCATCTCTTGCATAACTATTACCTTGTAATTTATTTGGAAATTAAGTATGGCTTAAGGAGATGCGTTTGAGTGCCAAGTTGACACGGGGTGAACTTACGGACCTAATTTTAGGTATCAAATTGACTAGATTAAGGAATACCAGAAACCTGGTAAAACATTATTTTGTTTTACACAGTCAGGGTGTGTCTGTGAGGGTATTTCCAGAGGTTAGTGTGTAAATCTGAGTATACTAGACGGAGACCATCTGCCCTCAGTGTTGGCAGGTACCATCCAATCAGCCAGTGGCCAGGAGGGAACAAATACAAAAGACAAAATGGGCAGGGCAAAATGGCTCATGCCTGTAATCCCAGCACTTTGGGAGGCTGAGGTGGGTCGATCACCTGAGGTCAGGAGTTCCAGATCAGCCTGACTAACAGGGCAAAACCCTGTCTCTACTAAAAATACAAAAATTAGCCAGGTGTGGTGGTGCACGCCTGTAATTCCAGCTACTTGGGAGGCTGAGACAGGAGAATCGATTGAACCGAAGAAGAGATTGCAGCAGTGAGCTGAGATCACGCCACTGCATTCCAGCCTGGGTAACAGAGTGAGGCTCTGTCTCAAAGAAAAAAAAAAAGACAAAATGGCAAAATGGATTCTCTGGGTTCTGCTGCTTGGATATCAGAAATTTGACTCCATGAAAGTGCATCAACACAATACTGACTGTGTATAAGCATTGAGTGTGTACATAAAACGTCACTTCCTCAATAAAGAGATATCTTTTACATATATCTACATTTGTAAAAGATGAAATTTCTTGAGATCTCAGCTCTTTGGGTGACTGCATATGCAGTGGTGACCCATCATGGTTTTGATCAATCTTGTCAAAAGACTTAAGGTTGTTGGGCACAGTATTTCAGATGACCACAGTTAAAAAGCTGTGTATATACAATTAACAACCATAGTGGAAAAAAAAAAACAAAAAACCATAGTGATACGCATTTATACCTTTCCCCTTATGACCAATTTCTTTATAAATATGGTTCATATGCCCATAACTGTTATACCCACCCAACTGTCATTAGTAACCTGAATGTTTATGCCTGCAAAAATGTGTGTTATCATTGTCTGTTTTATAAGGTGGTATATATTGTTGTGTTTTTATGTTTCTCAAATAAATTCCTCCTTAAAAACATAAATAAATGTCTTTAAATTTTTTATTTGTTCATTTATTTTTTTTTTTTGAGACAGAGTCTTGCACTGTCGCCCAGGCCGTAGTGCAGTGGTGCAATCTCAGCTCACTGCAATCTCCACCTTCTGGGTTCAAGCAATTCTCCTGACTCAGCCTCCCAAGTAGCTGGGACTACAGGTGTGTGCCACCATGCCCAGCTAATTTTTTTGTATTTTTAGTAGAGATGGGGTTTCACCACATTGGCCAGGATGGTCTTAATCTCCTGACCTCGTGATCTGCCCGCCCTGGCCTCCCAAAGTGCTGGAATTACAGGCATGAGCTACCACACCTGGCCTTTAAATTTTTTAAATTATTTTTTCCATAATTGTATTTTGGGGATTTTGATCTTTTCCAGGCTGTGGTTTTTGGGATTTCAGACTTTAGGGATTTTGATCTTTTGGAATTTCAACAGTTTGGGAGCATGATGTTCTGGGCTGTCTTTTGGGATTATGATTGGCTCCCCTTCTTTTGGGTACATAACATTACAACCTAAGTATTTTGTCATGTTGTTGTATAATTCTTTGTAAAGATCATTACTGCCTATAGAATATACTGCTAGGTAGCTGTGCCACAATTTATTTAGCTTTTTTCCTATTATTAAACACACTTGCCTTGGGTTCTGGCTCTGAGTCCCTTACCTACGCTGTCACTTCTTGTCATTGAATAACCAACAATTACGTGTTCTTTTTAGAAGTAATCGCTTCTCTTTACTCACCCATATTCTGCTACTATAGAAAAGTAGATTTTTTTCCAAGACCTCCTTGAATTCCTAGGGTTTCACAGAGACTTGGAAAAGCCAAATAACTTTGCAAAGGGGCATGAAGGAACTTCTTGGAGTGACAAAAATGTTCTATGACTTGCTTGTGGTAGTTATTACACAGATATATATATTAGAAAGAATATATCTAATCTAACAAGGACCATTTAAATACTAAGCATACATACCCACCTTTACATAAATACACACACCTGTACAACTGTAAGTATAACAGTTAACACAAGTTCACAGAGTAGAAAATAACTTTTGACTCCCCTATTTATTCTGACTTTAATCAAATATCATTAATTACTTTAAAAACAAAGAACATTTTGAACTAGGGTCAAGATAAAGGTTTGTCAAGTGAAAAGGGCTCTCCTAAATTCTGTGCCAAAATTTATAATAAAATTCTGCTACAGAAGCAAAAAGATACTGAATTCATTTAATTGTTCTAACTCAGCAAAACTAAATAGATTCTTGGGTACCAATTCTGTACATACCTGACTACTGAGTATGAAATGCTAGCAAGTTGGTCCTTTTAAGAGCAATGAAATTAACCTTTTAACTATAATAAAGAGCAATGAGCTTTTTTTGTTTTAAGACAGGATCTTGCTCTGTCACCCAGGCTGAAATGCAATCTCACTGCAGCCTTGACCTCCTAGGCTCAAGTAGTCCTCCCAATTCAGCCTCCCAAGTAGCTGGGGTTATAGGAATGTATCGCCACACCAAGCTATTTTTTAATTTTCTCATAGAGATGAGGTATCATTATGTTGCCCAGGCTGGTCTCAAACTCTTGGGATCAAGCGATCCTCCAGCTTTGGCCTCTCAAAGTGCTAAGATTACAGGTGTGAGCCACCACACCCGGCCTTGAAATGAGCATTTTAAGATAACATCTAAAACTTTATACAATTCCTTTGCTAATCAAATTATACAAAACATTTACAATCCTTGGCATTCTAACTAAAATGATTATCCAATCTGCTCTAATTATATTATGATAAAAGAATTCTCCCAAAATTTACAAATTCAAATTTCTATTAGTTAATATTTCATTAGAGACAAATGTAATCACACTGCAGAATACATAATTTCTCCATTGTCAAGTGGCTGCATTAAGACGGTAAGTTTTGCAACTTATGATCTCACACACTGCTAGATCCACAAAGGTGCTGTTTTGCATCACAATCATAAACAGAATGGATGCAAACCAACCTTGATAAGAAGTAGTTGACAGCGAAGGTACGTGGCAGAGAAATCAGCTACTCCTGCCAATTCGGACTGAAGTTCTCCAAGTCTTTGCAGATCCCTATGGTAAATAAAACCCGAAGCCAAACATAGGATAACGATAATGCCACTAACATAAAGATCATGTCAAAAGCATTTTACCATTTTATAACTAGTAAACTGGTCATAATTTTTTTCTTTTTTTGAGACAGAGTCTCACACTGTCACTCACTGCAACCTCTGCCTCTCGAGTTCAAGTGATTTTCCTGCCTCAACTTGTAGCTGGGATTATAGGCGCCTGCCACCACGCCCAACTAATTTTTTGTATTTTTAGTAGAGATGAGGTTTCACCATATTGACCAGGCTGGTCTCAAACTCCTGACCTCAGGTGATCTGCCCGTCTCAGCCTCCCAAAGTGCTAAGGTTACAGGCGTGAGCCACCATGTCTGGCCACTGGTCATAAATTTTTTTTTTTTTTTTTTTTTTTTTTTTTTTTTTTT